GAACACGCCGTATATCAGTCACCAGCGCGTTGGAGAATTGCTAATTGACTACATTTAGCCTGCCAATGCTGTCAATGCAAAAAGTCGGTTTATAATGCGCCTCGGGTATTTAATATTTGTTTATCTTACTTTAGACGCATTGTTTCATATAACAATTAAGTACCATTTGATTAAAATTATACTTCATGCAACATGGTGTTTATTTGTGCACTGTTTACTTTAGTATCTGTTTAAATTCACAAAGACTTAACTTGGTATTTGTACCCTCCAAATTTTCCACATTTTTAGCTACTGGTACGGATTGATCACCTATTTTAATTGGCGAAAGCTTATGTTATCCGTGGGGTAAGGCTCTGTATGCTGAGATATAGGCAGGTAAGTCTCTGTATGCTAGTTCGGCTGTAGAGGCTTACATTTATTGCATATCTTTAACCTTCTATTTTATTTGATTATTTAGCATACAGTTCTGTACATTATGGTAAAAGCAAATAATTTTTTTTAATTTATTATTAACTCAATAAAACAGAATATAAAAAATCTACTAAAATCAACATTCAAGATTTCAAATGGCAACACTATAGAGTGGCGGTTAGTATACTCTGTGTAAAATTGAAAAACGATATTAACAAAACCACATAATCTCTTTCTGAACCTACATTAAATACCCTTTGTTTCTTGCGTGACCACTATAAAAAATGTAAAAACTTTGATAAAGATTTTTTATTTTATTATTTGGGTTAATAAAGAACTTAATTGAAATTTATTATGTTTCAATGCCTAAATCAAACCTAAAAGATGCCGCCAAGCAATTACTCCTTGGCTGCCCAAGCAAAGGGGGAAGGCCATGTTTCATTACATATAGCCCTACTTCTAATGTTTCATAATTATGTATAATATTATTATGTTATTTCAGTATATAATATTATTTCAGTGGCACTAGAGCTCCTTGTGAAATACCTATATCTGCCGCCAAACAGTAATGAGACTATTACTGTTTTGAAGGATAAGGGTGCTGGTGAAATTACAGGCACATGGGACTTGTCAACTTATGTCTCAGGGTGACGGGCGCAGTGGCAGTGCCCCTCAGATCTTTGCGATTTAAAGCTCTGAGTGACACTGCAACTGTTATGGAAGGCGTGTAGCTTACCACTAGGAGCACGACTTGTTCGTCCCGTCACTTGATTTTATAAAAAAAAAGCTATATAAATTAAGTAAAAAAATATTTTTCCTTTTTTAGATGAAATAGATTTTTTACAGATGGTGCTACGGCTACTACAAAGATTGTAACAAACACACAGAAAATTTCGTAAGGTCCGATAGTTCGTTCTGGGGGCTTAGTTGGGCAAACGTATGGCACGGTTTGCTGGAGCACGTTGGTTCGAAACCATCTAGTTCGAAGGAATTCCTTCTTAGTGTTCGATCTTTGTATTAATAATTATAACAAACTATCATAGTGATCAAACATTGTTACATTCAATAAACTTAAAGAAAATAACATTATTAAATTACAATAACTCATTCTTTTTTTGCAAAAAGAGCTATAAGTATCAATTACCAAACTTAACATAGGTACTCCCCCTAAGCCCCAAACACAATACCTTCAAAGTACAGCGGGTACATAAACGACATTGGAATAGATCCACGAGCTTTGAAAAGCTTTGTGCCCCCTCCGATGACGTGAGGACATCGTACATGGCTTCGGTATTGTGTATACATGTAGGTGTACCTGTATGTTTACAAATGTATTGAATAGTGGGAATGTGTTGTGGATTTGGATGCAGTACTGGTTACTATTTTATGATGACCTGGTATATTAAGTTATGATTATAACAATATCAATATTACCAGACCATTTTTTTTAACGCACACACTCATAGCCCTGCTCTAGGAAGACATCGTGGGATGCCATGGACACATACATAGACAACCACAAATTACATACAAACTCACGAGAGAAATAAATCTAGGCCATACATATATTTCTCCCGGCCCGGGAATTGAACCCGGGACCTCTGCGTGGCAGCCCAGCATGGTAACCGTTCGACCACGGAGACAGTTAATTATTATACTTCCCATAGGCGAGCACGGATCTCCCCTAAGAAAAGTGCTTAGAGCCTATGCACACAGCGCATTTTTACGCGCAAAAGTAAACTCTTGAATACGCCTAAAAATTCAGTGGCGACGTAAACGCGTGTCATCTGCGCGTATAAAATACGTATGCCGTCTGCATACGCGCTATACGGCGATACAGATGACTGCGAGTGTCGTTGCGGGACAATGGCGTAGGCTATCGACATCAGTGATGTCGATGGCGTGGGCACACGATTCTCCTCCGCTCCTTTCTTTAACATTACAACGCAACGTTTTTGTTGTTGGTTCGGTTCAACGCGGTAGGTGCGTTTTTTATGACAAGTGCTGTGACGAACAAGTCGTGCTCCTAGTGGTAAGCTACACGCCTGTCCAAAACAGTGGCAGTGCCACTTAGAGCTTTAAATTAATAAGATCTGAAGGGCACTGCTACTGCGCCCGTCACCCTGAGACCTAAACAGAAAAAACTTTCTGTCTGTAATTTCACCAACACCCTTAAAACCAAAACGCAGTAATGGGTAAGTGTACCCTTCAAAACCAAATGCTCACATTATTGTTTGGCGGCAGAAATAGGTAAGATAGCAGTACTTCCCTGGACGAATACTTTCAAAATGATCTTTATTCCCACTAAAATTTTGCTGATAAAAGTTTAAATCGATACACACGAAAAAATCGCGCTACTTCCTTGTAACGCGCGTCGTCTGCGTGTATAAAATGCGACGTGTGCATAGGCTCTTAGGTCGTAGGCTGCTCAGGGTGGAAAACCTTCTTCGACGTGTAGGCACAGATCACTTAATTGTTACTACTACGCAACAGATACATACTCTCATACAAAATGGAAAATACTCACGCCATAATAAATATAATTAATGACACCAGGCGCTCACTACCTAAGCACGCGCTCAGAGAGGTGAAAATAACGTAGCCCGCCGTGTGCAGTCGTGCAAAGGCGAATGCTCATAAATGGGACCAATACTGAGATTTGTACGAGAGGTTACGCCGACGACGTCGGCACACTCAGCGGTAGGCATTTATCGCTTAACTTTGAGCGAGTGACGGAGACCTGCAGCTTAATTATGATTGCCTCTCCCGATCGGAATGTGCGTCTCTTCCGAGTCGAGGCGCATAATTGCGATGCGATGAGAACTTTTGACATTTCAAATCGGAACAATAGTTGATTGAACTCACAAATTAAAAAGATATAGTAGGAATCAGGTTCATCTTCTCGCTCGGAAACCCATCTGATTTCGAGACTCAGATGGGCTACTCGATCGGATCGATTCCGCTTTGAATTAAAATCAGCATGCTGGTGCATGACCTGTACTCTCGTTCTCCGTGCGACATTCGTCCTAAATAAGTCCTCTCAAATAACTAACACTCAAGTAAATTACAAGACGCATGATGCGAATGAAGTTTTATACTTAACATTGTCTTTTGTTTCGGACGGACATTGGAGGAAGTATAATATTGGATCTTCACGGTTAGGGAAATTGTTGTTATTAAACGTTCATAAATGTACATAACTTACAAAATTCATGTCATAGGTATACGCCATCTTATGGATTCTAACGTTTGACCTCTCGATCGAATAATAGCCGTTCTTCTACCACTACTGGCTACCATCGCTTTTTTACCAAGCTATGAAATCAATGACAAATACTTTGTTGTGCTAAAGAGGATGTTCATCTCATTTTCAGAGAGTTTTGAACCCGTACTCAAAATATATGAAGTCGTATATTCTTTGAGAAGAACCTTGTTTAAATTTAATTTGTGCTCAGAAGCGGTTATGCGTGAGATGTTAACGACCGCCTTTAAAATCTTTTAGTAACCTAACTGTTACTACCATCTTTATTCAACGTATCAACCATTAAACGTCACTTAAAAACAGCTTCACACTCTAATGATATAAACACCTTGCCAATTTACAATATATTTATGCATCCGGCACCACATTTCGTTAATGTGACTAAATAAGCAACATTCGTAAATTATATTTTTAATATTTCCGGACAATGTTGCCCTTTTAATAAATTAATAATAATAAATTAATAACTGTTTTGAAACTATTTTGCACTGGCAACACCGCGCCGATGGAGAAGGAAACGGAAATGTCCATTATATCATGTGGAAAACACGAAATTTTTATAAAAATGGCGGGATTATGAGGAAACTATAAAATATGTTGATTTATATAATTGTTGGTTCGCGTTCATGATACGCGCCATAAATTATTACGATATTTAATTTTAAATTAGTAGAAGTGGTCTGCAAAATTATGATAATGGTTAATATACGCATGGACAGAGGATATTCAGAAATAGATACACGTAACTGCCATCGCATTTAGAGAATCGTAAAACATTTTTCAAAACCATTTCCCATCACTTTCTGTATCATTATATAAATAACAATGTCATCCAGGAGAGATTCAATAACAGTGCTTCTGTTTTCTCAATGTTCCTCGGCAATCATCGGATTTCCGAATGCACACGAATATTAATTTCCACGCACATTAATTATTAGATTTAAAATCTATAATAATTTGAATTTTGAACAATGTACTTTATAGTTGGTTTGTTTTGATTTCCGTGTGAACTATATAGAGCTGTAAAACTATTTCCCTATTTTTAACAACTTTTTCTCCGTGTCAATAAGCAAGTTAACAAAAATATAAAGTAAATAAAGTATGCTTCTTTTATATTACTAAAAATGAATATTTTTCAGGTTATTAATCATTTCAATTCAGTTCGTATCTGAACGCGTTTCTTCATCAGACATAGCTATAAATAAAAATGTAATAGCAACTCTATATACTTCCAAGTCATTCAGACATTGAGAAAATAGAAGCACTGTACTCGCCTACCTTTTACAAAATCAGTAATTGTACACTAACTAATATTTTTCTTTTACAGTAAAGGACCACCTCCAACACTCCGACCTGGAAACTGACGAAGTGGAGACCGACGATCAAACGTCGAATCTCGACGATGACATTTTGACCCAGTCTGATTTGGACGAAAACGGTGACCCGAAGAGCCCAACAAGTTCAAGTTCTAAAAAAGGAAAAAGTTCGTCCAGTAGCAGAGACTCTAAAGGAGGGACGAAACCCAGAAGGGCAAGGACGGCGTTCACATATGAGCAGTTGGTTTCTTTGGAGAACAAGTTCAAGACGACGAGGTACCTTTCTGTGTGTGAAAGGCTTAACCTCGCGCTGAGCTTGAGTTTAACTGAAACACAGGTTAGTTTTTATTTAATTAATGATAAGACAACATCTTCAGATCACAACACGTATGTACACACGCCAGCACATCAAGCTACGCATTGACGTATCGTGTTCCGTTGCACTGAAGACGATTTTCGAACAAAAATGTGTAGTCTGATGTGCCGTTGTCCGTACATACTCATAATGAAACTATCAAAATAATACAGAATTAGCAAGAATATGCGAGTAAATAAGATCATTGCAAGAAACATGGTTTACAAGTTGTAACAAGTCCTACTAATTAAAAAATTAAACACTTAAAAATAATAGTGGCGTACATCGTACCATCAGGCATACGACTTGTTCGTCCCGTCACTTGATATTATAAAAAAAAGTGTTATTATAACGATCCCCAGATGTACTATGCGTGCTATTACGTCATCAATATATTAAATATAATGGTGCCTTTTTCCCTACAGGTAAAAATCTGGTTCCAGAACCGTCGTACTAAGTGGAAAAAACAGAATCCTGGAATGGACGTCAACAGCCCCACGGTACCACCACCGTCAGCGGGCGGGTTCCCCTCCGGACCTTATCCTGGGGGCCTCCTGTACTCTCATGGGGTACCGTATCCGTTCACAGGTCCTGGGCCTTATGCACCGTACTTTCATCACTTGGCCGCGAACCATCATCACACGCATGGGAGCTTAGGTCATTCTCATACGTGATTGTGGCAACGCCCTGGGCAGGATCCTAGGGATAAGGAGAATGATAGTGTTGGAACTACCTGACTTTTGTGAAGTGACTGTGTATTTTAATAATCTGTTCGTTGCAATTTGAAGAGAAACTTATCATTGACATTACAAAGTCTAGTATTGCTGGAACAAATATGTAATAATGAAGTGGGCGTATAATTTTTATTAGAAGAGAACTTTCCAGAATTGTGTTTTGTAGGTACCTGTACACAGACACGTGTACGAATAAATTGATAATCTCACCACATTTGAAATCGATTTAAAGAAGTTTGTAAAGATTCTATATTACCTCAGCTCGAATTAAAATTTTTCCCGTACTAATACGGATCATTTTACTTAGGTCGAGCGCCATGGACATTGGATTTATTTCAGAACTTATTTTCTTACAAACGAAATTAATGCCATTTGAAGAATAAATAACGTATAGTAAACGTCTTCTATTTAGTTCAGTTGATATATTAAAAAAAATTGGTATCTGTAAAGTACCTATTGAATACAACGATTTTCTTGTAAAATTTCGAGGTAAGTTTCTGTTTTTTTTTTCTATCGTATAAGTTTTAGGAACCGTGTTTTCACACCGTATACTATCCAGTGTATATTCTCAAGTTTAATATATATTTTTTCCAAAGCGATTGATTCAACACTTTCACTGTTATGCGGAATCAACCAAAGCCAGAGGCTCTTAAAGACTCTTTTCCATAACATAGCTGATCGAAGAATTTCAACAAAAAGTAAAAAAAATTGTGGTAATTTTTGTGAGTTGTGAAGCATTTCACACTCTTGGTGTGTAATAAGGCCTCATTTGCAAAATGTCAACTTTTCAGGTGTGAGGTTTAAAGATTCTTTGAAATTAGTCGATAACTATTCATTCTTAAATAGGAGTTATAAAATTTCACATATACATAATTTGTTTCATGCAATTGGCATTTTTTATGCTTTTCGTGTGATAAAAGCACTTTTGATATATGACCACATGTTGCTTTATTATACCAAGGGTGCGAACGTGCGCAAAATCGGATTCATCCCCTAGTTTGTTACCCTTAGAGGTGGAATATTTTCTTTAAATTTAAATGGGACCAATACTGAGGTACCTTCTTTCAAACAAAAAAGTATCATCAAACGCGGTTCACAAATGCCGAAATCGAGTAACTTAAGCACAAAAAAATACAGCCGAATTGGAAACTTCCTCCATTTTGAAGTCGGTTAATAAACAGATGTATGGGATATTGGTGCAGCAGTGTAAAATGTGAAATAAATAAAGAAATACAGTCAACCTCCTCCTTTTTTGAAGTGGTTTGAAAATGAATATTAATTTCGTTCGTGGAATATATAAACCTCTCTCCTTGAAAGTTGTTACTATACTGTCAGTGTATTTAAATTAATAACTTTTGTTACTATAGTGAAAAATAGGGTGGTTTGCAGTAATATTATACATCATCTCAGTCAACCGTGACTGTGAAAAAAACAAAGTATTCTATATTTACATCTGACAAAATAAGTTTTCAACTTGTTGTGTGTTTTCTGTACACTTATCTCATGAATTATCTCCACCTTTATTTTAAGGTCTTAAGAATTCTTTTTTACGAACTATCAAAATGCAATGAACTGATAATAAAAACAAAAAAGGGACAAATTAGTGCAATTGTGGTAAATTATGAATCAATTGTGATACATTATTATATAAGGTAACGCGTCTTTATATCTGTACCGTAGAAATGTATTATTAAGTACTTAAATCTTTTCAATTAGATTTTATAATTTAACTTGTTTTTTTTCTGTATACAGTTTAAATAAACCCAGAACGGAACATAGACTTTCTTTTGAAATGTTAAGTTATCCGTTTAGATTTACGGTTGTCTTTTGGATAATGTCTGTAAAATTATTTTCGCACAATGTAATATACTTTAAAATTAAATAAGTGCAATAATGATTATCTTTGCTTCTGAACACGAAGTTTATTGGTTTATTGGATACAGCTTGTAATTTGATTTTGGGGATATATAGTTTTTAATTTTAAAAACTGACAGCATAATTTGAAGGGATTGACTAGTTCGAGCAAAGAAGCAACTGCGGAAATGAAAATTTAAATTTGTTACAGTATTAAGCGGGACGTAGCATTCAATAACGAGGCAGGGTTCCAAGTAGGTACGTGTTTATTGACGTAGCAACTAGTTACACTACAAACAAGAAGGGTCTACGACCGCAAGTGCAGGAGGCTCTACGGCTACGCAACTAGGGTGAGCTACGAGTCCCACCAAGTGGATGCTGTTATGCAATAACGTGTCAACCAACATGATCTTAGTTTTGTTGTGGTTATTAATACAAAGATCGAACACAGAAACATTTCCACGACCCGATGGGACTTGAACCCATGGCTACCTGTACCGTAGCGCTGCTCTTTCCAACTGAGGTAAAACGTATCTGTAAAGGTACCGACTACGGTGAGAAGGTTCCAAAATCTTTCACTAGATGTCACTAGCGGTGCTGAATGGCGGTACAAAAATCTATAACAAAAACACACACAGGAGAATTTCGATAACTCAATAACTTGACCTGTTGCAATTGGTTAGAGCAGCGCTACTGTGCAGAGAGGTCATGGGTTCAAGTCCCATCGGGTCGAAGAAATTTTTCAATGTGCTCGATCTTTGTATTTATCGCAACAAGACTAGTGGAGTTATTTCACAAAAAAATCTCAAAAAAAATCATAGTCATAGTTTTGCGAAAATGGCACTTAAAGAATATTTTCGTTGTTTTAATAGTTCATTTTAAAATTTACTTATAAAATTTAATCTTTTACTGTTGCGCTTGTTGTGGAATTATATATAAATCACAACAATCCGTCATTCCTAATGTGACACACAACGGCAAAAATGTTCATTTTAAAAGTAATTTTTAGAACAAACTATCAAAAACAACGAAGAAATCTTTCGGTTTCGTTTTCGTAAAACTATTATCATGTTTTATTGAGATTTTTTTTGTGAATGATCGTTATTGTTTATCTGCATCCAAGTGGAAGTGGGTTACGTAAGTTCGACTTTGGGGTATTTAGGCAGACCAGGCAATATCACGTCCCACCTTTATCATTACAAATTCGAATTTTTGTTTTAAGCCCATATACCAAATTATGTAGTTATATTTGTAAATAACAGATAAAAAAATTTAACCTCTTCTCCTGCTACAGGCCACAGGTTTTATCGTAGATGAGTGTATCTTTGAAAATCAACTCATGGTTATAATATTTGTAGCTTCAAATATTGTTTTTCTATTTACTATACTTAACTAATTTCGAAATTACTGTATATATAGACATAAGCGAAACTAAATAACATTTGAAATAATTAATATTACCAAATAGGATAAATCTTGTAAGCTCATTTAATAAATTGTCATCAATTTGAATTGCTAAAGTGCCAAAGGAATTATTCAGTTTAAAAAAAGTTTAGTGTATTAGTTTATTTTTTTATATACGTCGCACTGCTATTACAATAGTGTTCTAACTCAAAATACGTGAAAATAAGATTATACTATTGCTAAACGTAAAATTTGATTCTCTATACGCCAATAAAACTGTAGTTAGAATATTGTAAAAAACAATCAAAAGATATCTACTTTACTTAAAACGAAACAAATTTTATGTGAACTAGTTCTGGACACGGAATATCACGGAAGAGCGCTGATGTCTGAAATACAGATAATTAATTATCTAGTTCAGACACAGATGTCTTGTCCTAAATGCATCGCTGGAATTTCAACAATGTCATTGTCAAATTAGCCTATAAGTTTGTGAAATAAATACATTATTATTATTATTATTATTATTATACAATTCTGTGTTATCCATAAATACAGCAGTTAAAACAGTTCTTACTGATATATAATGATAATATATAATATGAACTTATTTTTTCCGTTCTATTTTTCAAACATATTCGACTACTAGAAAGTTGTTTAGATGTTTGTAATAAAGTTTGACCTATAAATATTTTATTATAATCTTATTCGGGAAGTGAGTAATTGGTTTTTCATAGAATCTGAAAAATACACTTTTTGAATTAATACACTATTGTATTTACTGTGCGATATAATAATTTTATTTCATTGACGACTTTTAAAAATTGGTGTAAAAAAGGCACATCTGTAAAATGGCAGCTTGTCATGGGAAGTATGTATTTATATTTTATCACATATAAACATTCAGGTACAGTCGAATCTCTAATCAGCCTCTGGTAGCTGTAAAGGTACCTGAGTGAAGAAAACGTCTATAGATTTTTCACAATAGGCGCTATAACAAAGATCTGCAGGAAGCACATAGAAAAATTTGTAAGGTCTTCTGGTTCAATCGGGAGAACGTCAGTCACGGCATGGCGAGAAACGTTAAAACAAAAGTTATCGACTAATTTTTCTAGTCGAATTTTTAAACCTCTCTTGTGAAAAATTGTCATTTTGCTTATGAGTCCTTATTACACCAAGCGTGCGAATTCTTGTTGTTTTTGTTGGAACTTATGTCTGATAATCAGTGGTTGGAATCGAGGGAGTTAATTTGGCTAAACTAAAGAATAATGTGGACATTGCCTTCTACAAATCCCGGTGCTTCTTGAAACTGATTATATTTGAATATACGTGTATCATTTATTGAAATTTGAGGACATTGGCAACAAATTATGATTTCCTATTAAGTATTTATTGTCTCAAAAAATAATATTCTGGTTGTGTTTCTATAGCTACTTACGTGTTTCAATAATTTAGTCATTTAAAAAAGAAACATGAGTATTTTAAGATGTTTTGAAAATTAACAGTAAAAAAAGATATTTTACACGCATTGATTACGAATTGGGTATGTCCGTACTAAGAAAATGTTCATACTTAAGGTAAATTCACACCCTCAACTACCACAGCGGTTTTAGTGGACAATATAAACTAATTTATAGTTCATTATACGTAAGCATTACGGTCACATTTTAAAACTACAACTGTCATTATTCTATAGCCCATTCAAACTCAATGTAAATGTGGTTTGGTTCAATTTTAATATTTACAGGCATTGTGCTGTCTAGCCCTGTCTTCGGTTTATAAAAAAAGTCACTGATCCTGTGAGATTCCTTATCTCTATCTTCTTATTCTAATCTTTAATTATTAGTAAAGTAAA